CCGCTGCACTTGTGAATTATCAGCTTCGAAAGAAGGATAAGGAGGCTTCAGTTGAGCCGGTAGCGGAGGCGTTGGTCGCAAGAGGGAAGGGTCCAAACCGAAAGAATTGGAAGTCACAGTCTAGAGTAGGAAAAGATCAGTGTGCTTGGTGCAAGGAGACTGGTCATTGGAAGAAAGACTGCCCAAAGCTCGACGAATGGATGAAGAATAAGCAGAAGGGAAAAGGGAAGCAACCATCATCAGAAGCAAACATCGTATCGGATGGTAATAATTCTGACTCTTCTATTTATTCGCTTTCTATCAGTCCTACAGATAGCTATTCGGAGGAATCTGAATGGATGTTGGATAGTGGTGCGACCTATCATGTGTGCCCTAGAAGGGAATGGTTCTCCAGTTTTGAGAAGCTGGTGGATAGTGGTGTGGTGTACATGGCTGATAACCGTGCATGCCAGATCCTTGGGATAGGAAGAATTCGCATAAAGACGTTTGACGGGGCTGTTAGAGAGTTAAATGATGTGAGATATGTTCCTTCTTTGAGGAAGAACTTGATCTCGATTGGAGCTTTGGTTGGAGAGGGTCTGAAGGTTCATGTTGAGGACATAGTTCTCAAGATTGCGAGAGACTCTCGTATTTTGATGAAGGGCGTCAGGAGAAATAACCTGTATTACTTGACTGGAGGTATAGTGACAGGTGAAGAGCTGACGACTTCTGTTGATTCGACTAGACTGCGGCATTTGGGGCTTGACCATTCCAGTATTGATTCCTCGCATAGATTGAAAGAGGGTGCGAAGACCTGCAATTTAAAGTCCAGTGAATATGTTGATGTGAGCAAGAAGACCAGGGTGAAGTTTGGCACCTCTATTCACCGAGTTAAGGGTCGTTCTGGAGGAGTTCACGTGGATGTTTGGGGGCCTTCCAAGGGGGCATCATTGGGAGGTAATAGGCGTTTGGTTTTCTTTGTTGGTGGCTGTTCTAGGCGTGTTTGGGTTGCAACCAAATCCCCATTGGAGAAAGTCCTAGTAGTCTCTAACAAATTGAAGAAGTATGTAATAGACAGAAAGATGAAAGTACTCCATTCTGGTGGGAGTTACAAGATGGACCTGTTTCTGTATTGGAGCCGAGCTCACGGCATTTCGAGACACTTCGTTGGAAAGGAAATCTTGGGGCAGCTAGATAGGATGACAAATTTGGAGAACCGTGCCTTGCTGGAGGAGGATCGGTGTTTGTTGTCAAGCAATGGTCTGCAGAAGAGTTTCTGGACAGAGGCTTCGACATATTTGGGTCATTCTATTAAAGAGTTATCAACTGCTGTGATTGGAGGTAAAACTTCATTAGAAGATAGGTCTGGTAGTGTCACTTTGGTTGAGGCTTTGATGAGGGAGCTAATTGACTCTCAGCAGGTGGAGAGTTTTTGACAGACCTTAGAGGTATCGCAGCGGGTGGAGAGTGATGCTACTCCACATTGGGTGAAGATTACTCCAGATCATACTGCATTATTTGGGATTCCAGCTGAGGTGACACGGCTTGGAGATCATTTGGTTTTGGATGCAGATGATGAGTTGGGTTTTGATTCGAATGCAGCTGGTAGACATAGTTTGAATATGGTCATTGGTTTACCTCAGGTGGAGGTGTTTGAGGCCATTGGAGGTGTTATCAGCCGCAGAGTTGATGATATTGGAGAAGGGTTGCGAACTCTTCTATTGGATTGAGGCCTTTGGAGGCCATTTGGGTGAACTACGTTCGGCTTGATTCCTTGGGCAAGAGGATACGTAGGCAGTCTTTACGATGCAGCCGGGTTTGGATTTTTGATGGGGGTGAGATCGATTTGGTGAGTAGATACCGACGTTTGGAGAGTGTTTACACTCTCATTTGGGTTCTCGACTTGTTATGGATTGAGTCTGTTATCGTGAATTGTTTCACGGTGTACTGGACACAACAAGTGAGACATTTGGTTTGGTTGGTGTCGGCTCAGTTTTAGAAAAACTTCACCGAGGTGGAAACTAGTATGTTTATGATTTTAGGATTTCTATATATATGGAACAATTGGAAGAGAAAATTAGAGGAGAAGAAAAATTGGGGATATTTGGAGCACAGAAAAGAGGTATTTTCTGAGCTATTTGTTTAGGGTTTTGTTTGGAGAGATTAAGAGCTTGTTGGTGAGATTAGTTTGTTCCTTCGAGTGATTTGTAATCTCAGTTTGTACTCTTTCTCTATTAGTGAAAACCCCATCCCCTTCTTGCCCCGTGGACGTAGGCAATTGCCGAACCACGTAAAACTATTGTGTTTGGATTTATGCCGTTGTTTTGATTTGTTTGGCCTTTATCTCGACGTTTGTTTGATTTGGTTCTCGAAGCACGCCCGTTTGGTTGTCACGCTTCCGCGACGCCACAACATCTAATACAATAATTCACTACTAGAAAATAGAGTTTTGCCTACGGTATTATAGCGACGGAAATTTCCGTCGCTATAACATGACATATAGCGACGGAATTGTGATTTTAACGACGGAAATTTTCTGTCGTTAAATCTTTAGCGACGGATTTTTAGCGACTCTACGCTTTTGGATCTTGCAGGAAAAAAGAAGAGGGTTGAGAAGTGCGAGTTCTACTATATATATTATGTGCAATCATACTATCATATATGATCACCAATTATATAATTGAGTTTGTGATTGCATTAATATTTTAAGGTTGTTTTTGACAATTCTATTAAAAAATTAGGTCGAAACTCGTACCTGGTTGGATTCTTTTACGGCTCTCCATCCGCCTGCCAGCCCTACCGGAGTTCCTATATCGGAAGCCCCCGAGCTTGCCGACATCCCATGCAGCTTTCCACGTGCAATAATAGGATGGCCCACAACAAACACACAGCTTTTTCTATCTTCTTTCGTTTTCTTCCTGTTGGCTTATCGTGTGGATAAAATCCATGTGCAATGCGTATGTAATGGAGTCATGACAGGCCCGATTTAGCAAAGTTTTCCTGCAACTGTTGAGTACAAGTCATGTGCGCGCATGTTTCTTGCTTCGATATTACAATTATTGGGGGGGTTTTAGATCTCGGAAAAACCTCGAAAACCAGCAGACGCGGCAAATAAAATCATATACGCAAAATTTAACGTGGAAAACCTTCATCGTAGAAGAAAAACTATGAGATCTAAAATAATCCACTATCATCTTCAGATTTACAATCTTTTGTACGGATAAAAGGCGGTGAAACGCTCTCTCTCACAATATCTTTAAACCCGGTTACACCCTATGTTAAATCCTGATTACAAAAATATTGTGCATCTCTTTACTAAAAAAATTCTTAGAATATGATGTCTTATTTAAAGACGACACCCATGACTCGCCAACCAAGTCAACTTGGCATACAAGAAAACTATTTACTTGACCTCTAAAAAAGCTATTAGGATTGAGCCTAGTCTTCAAATCCGGAGCCAACTTGGAGTTTGAATTGGCACCCAATAACATTATTTTGATTTGAATGGGTAGATTTCTCTTTTCTTTTTTTCTTTTTTGGTCTGACAAGGGAATTTCCTCATGATCATTCGAATTATGGGTATATGATATATCAAATCCCTAGATGCGAGTAAAAAGCTCTCCCTAACACAAGACCTCATGTATTCCAGAAGATTAAATTCCTATAGGTGCTTCCCAAGAGAGTCGGAACTGAAACTTTGAAGTACTGATAGAAATTTTTATTTTCCTTTAAATATTGAATTTGTTACAATTTAATCCTATTGTAGAGTTGACGGTGTGAAAGTGTGGGAAAGAGAACTTTGCCATTGAAAAGATGGGCAATGTTATTGGACGGCTTCCAAGATTTTGGAAATAGGGAGCAAAGTGACAAAAATTAAGCTTACAAGATGTGAGAACATACCTTTTGTTCTCGAACCACGACTCAAGGGCCTAAAGAGCCAATATGATTATGTTTCTTTTCATCCAATGCATGTATGATACTGGAATATATAAACAGGTAGAAGTCATTATCTCAGGCTCATGAATAGAGTAGGAAGAAATAAATAGGGGTTGATATTAACCGCATCAAATGAGAAGAATCTCATCACTATTATCTCTAATGGCTTAAATTAATAAACAAATTCTATATTTTAAAATATATTATCTTCGTTCAGTTCATAGTCTGATTCAAATTTGGTGATCAATAAATCTAATTTCTGAAAAGTGTTGAGCCTACAAGTGACCAAAAAGATTTTATATCACATGACCCATATATTCTTAGCCTTATTTATTTTCCATCATACTTGTCATGTATCTGTATGACAAGTATCTATATCCTTTCTCTTGCATCAGATCACTACTCATAATAAATTTTAATCGATGTAATACGAGTTTGTCTAATCAAACATATTTACCTAAGAGCACATCCTCTCATAACTGCCCGCATGCAACTGGCATCCTGAGAAGCACGGGGTCACTAAAATCTTCAAACCGTATCCCTACTATTTCACTGTGCGGTTTGGATTGTGGAGTCATATACGGGTTATTTTGAGAGAAAGAGAACTCATTATTCACACATTTGACATTTAAAATTTTCGTTTGAAAATTAGAAAAACTATATCTAATTTGTTAGCATATTTCCATGTTTTGGGGAGAATATCCCCCCAAAAAGTGGATATTTTGTGGGTTACACCCCTCCAAACAGGAATGGGAGCTAGGTTCAAGGTAATCGCAATGCAATAATTATCATTTCATTGATAGCCCCAGCTATTTTACAATCAATCATTTATATAATCGCTTTCATAACCAAAAGCCGTGTCATTTTTAGATGTAACATAATAACTAACCGAAATCATCAAGCCAAGTCCAAGCCCCAACCGCAACAATAAAAAAAAAGCATTAGGCAATCCAACATGAACTCCTTTTGTGGGCCCCACTACCAGTTGCTTGGTGCAAATGTGGGTGCAAAAGCTGGCGAGGGAGATATTTATTGAAGTTCTGAACACTTCCATAAAAATGACAGCTTTGACTGCAAACGCCCGCACTTCGTTTCTGGTAACTTATTGAGCTCTCCTTTTGATTCGATTCGCTGTTGAGTTCCTCTCTTCGTTTGAGTTGTCAGATTGAATCCTTTGCGTGTGTCAGCTCCTCATTATAGATAAAAAGGGGGGAAATTAGGGGAAAAAAAATTCAAATTTCTAAGGATTTTATACCCTTTTCTTCTTCAGTTGAGAGATTCACGGGGGAGAAATCTTTTCTGGGTTCAGCTGATTCATGGATTTCTCTCATCTTCTTATGTCAAAAGGTGAGTTTCATTTTTTAGGGATTTTTTTTCAGTGAAAAAAAATTGTATTTTGATTGTAAAGGTTTGATTTCTTGTTGTTTGATTTCTTTCTTGTTTTATTCATGATGCTTGGCAAAAACCCATTATTTGTTGGATACAAAGATAGGGTCTTGGGGTGAGGAATCTGGGATTTTTTTTAAGTTCATTTATCTGATTTCTTACATTGTTTGATCCAGTAAAAGGAAATATTGTATAGTATTATTGTTATCTAACCTCAATGTCTTTTCCTTTGATCAAGATGGGATCTTGAGATTTCTCGTTTTATGTTGGCATTTGTGATTCAATGAAAGCCAATTTCTCCATTACCGCCTTAATGACAAATCCCCCATTTTTCCAATTTGGACCATGTTTTATCAGTCCAAATCTAATCTTTTCCACGTTAGCAACTTAGCACAAACAATAAATCTCAATTTTATTAAGATTTAGGTACTCCAAAGCCTCAAATTTGCTCAGTTTAGTCCTTTCCCCCCAGATATTATTATGGTGATTGCTTGAACCACATTCTTGTCTCAATATGAACCTGAATTCTGACCCAATTCTAATAATTTTTTACATCACCCATTGCAGAGTAATGCACCATAGATCTCAAAAACAAAATGGCTACATTAGTCCCTGGAATCCTCCTCAAGCTCCTCCAGCACATGAACACAGATGTCAAAGTTGCGGGTGAGCATCGATCCTCCCTCCTCCAAGTCATTGGCATTGTCCCTGCCCTGGCCGGCACTGACCTCTTCTCCAACCAAGGATTCTACCTCAAAGTGTCAGACTCGTCTCATGCCACTTATGTCTCTCTACCCGATGAGCATGAAGACCTTATACTTAGCGATAAGATACAGTTAGGCCAATTTATTCATGTAGAACGTCTCGAGGCAGCTTCTCCTGTCCCAATTCTTAAAGGGGTGAAGCCAATCCCCGGGCGTCATCAATGTGTTGGTAGCCCGGAAGATATCGTTGCCACTCAAGCACAGAATTTACTCGATACAAAGAAATCAAGACCATCAAATGTTTCGAATTCTTCAAAGGATAGTGGTAGTCAAGTAGAGAACAAGTCATTGGGTTTGCTTAATATTGAGAGACCAAGGTCATCCAATGTGTCCAAGGATAATGGCGTTAGATCATTGAAAATGAATGGTACTCCAAAACTTGAGGATGTGGGCAAACAAAAAGCATCTTTGAGTAGGTCAAGCTCTTCACTATCCAAACACATAGAAGCTAATCATGGGAGGTCGAATTCAATAAGTTTACGGAATAACATGCCTTCATCACCATCTAGTTGTTATTCTCTGCCAGTGACATTTGAGAAGTTCTCTAATGGTGTTAAGCAAAATGGGAAAGTTAAATCAGAGAAGGTGACTTCTTCAAAGCTCAATTTATTGGAGAGGGCTGCATCGGTATTGAAGGCGACTACAACTGGTAGGAAATCATCAGTAGGAAATTTGTTACCAGGGATTGAGACGGGGGCTAAAGGGTTAAGGAAGAGTTGGGAAGGGAATGTGGAGATAAAGGGAAGGGATAGTTCTACTCCAAGATTATCGAAAAGTGAGCCTAAGTCTGAGGCTAGAAGCACATCAGTAAGTTTTCTTGAGAATTTAGATCTGATTAAAGTTGGATTAATATTTGATTCTTACTGTTGGATTTCCCCTATATGTTTACTTCATTGGTTTGTACTATCTTTCTGTCATATGAAGTTGAAGGTTCTTTGGGACAGCAAATTATTGCTATAAATTGAGTTAAAACATTCACAATGAGCTAAATAATTTTTTGGAGAAAATACTCCCATATCATATGATAAACTCTTTCAATTCTGGAAATTGTGGGTTGGAGTGTACTAAGGGCAAACAATATGACTGGGTTGATGAATGTGCACCTTACTTCTTTTTGTAAGTTACCTAAATCATCAAAATTTTAATCTTACTAAAGTAGGTTTATATTTTTTAAATTCTTCTGCTTTATTTTTCATGACATTGCCCTTTAATTTCTTTCCCACTTGGGGAAAAGGAAGAAATAGGATGCACATGATAAACGTTTAGTTTATATGGTGTTTTTTAAAATTACTGGTTTACGGCAAATGCTATGAGTATATATAATGTTAGTAAACACTCAGTCATTTGTGCTAGCTAATTATGGTGATCTTTCACTTTACTACAGACTCCTAGAAGAAAATCAACTGCAATTGAGAAGCCATTGCCTAAAGAGGAGAACAAGGTTCAGACTCCCCAGAAGAAAAGCAATGTGACTGTAACTTCTAATGATGCTGATAATTCAAGTAAACTACGATCTCCATCACAAACAGCAAAGAGGACACTGGAGACGACTAATATTCTAGCTCCGGGAAACTTAACTAAATTTATTCCAAGCAGAAGATTGACAGATGGTAGTGTTAACTGGTCATCGCTTCCTTCACCTCTGGTGAAGCTCGGAAAGGTACAAATTCTCAACTTTTGTGTTTAGTTTGTGTTTGGGAACTTTTTGTCATCTTAACTTTGGTTTGTTGGAGTTCATTTGATTTTTATTTATTTTTACTAGGTTTGAACTTTGAAGCTAATGATTGTCTTTTTTATTTTAGGAAGTAATGAAGTATAGAGATTCTGCACAACAAGCTGCCATTGAGGCGATGCAAGAGGCTTCAGCTGCAGAGAGCTTGGTCCGGTGCTTAAGGTAACATATAACTAATGTTTCAAACTTCACTCCATTGAAGTGGTATTCTATATACTTTAAGATAAAAACCTTATGTTCATAATCAAAAGGGGAAGTGTCTATTTTGGATTTCATTTAGTATAGAGACGTTCTAACTGTTGGAATTTCGTGCTAATTACATGCAAAATATGCAACGGAAGACTGTATGTATAATAATACTAAGCATGTAGAGAGCATGAAATACAATCTAGGACCATCCTATTTAAATCTAACATGATCCCTATAATAAAGAGAACAACCTAGAGCTTTGAAGGCTTACTTTCGTAGCGTGATTCGATGGTAGATCGAACAACCCATAACTTATTCTTCTTGTTGTTGTAAACCTTCTTGTAGTGGATCTCCAAGTCTTCAAGTGAGCTTGATAAAATCAGTGTCTTCTTGAGACACAAGGCAAGATATCCACCCCAGGATACTTTAAAATCGTACTACTTCCTCTTACTCAAAAATTGCTAGAGTTTAGTAAGAGGTAGAGCTCTCTTTTATTCTCTTATGGAAAAAAATCACTTAGCCAATTTTTCATTAATATTTACATAAGAGAGAGAGCTCATATATATAAAGTGAGATATGTCATGACTCATCTCATGAGTCATCTAAATGTAATAATTTTTTTCATGAGTCATGCAATGACTCATCTCATGAGTCATGCAAAGAGTCATGGAGAATTAAAACTATGTGCTAAAACCATGTTCCCAAACCATACCATCATAATGACTCATCTCATGACTCATTAATCAAGGAATAATGAAGTGTGTATTTCATAAATAAAAATATCACATCAATACGGTGTTTCATAAATACGGTATTGCGTAATTTTCCAATCATTAATTAATAAGTCATCATATGACCAAAAAAATCAATGAGTTGACCAAAAGTCAACTATTGATCAAAAAGTCAACCAATTGACTAAAAGTTTATGGAAAAAATACTAGAATTTATTTCTTAAGCATATAGCATTCTGATTTTACCGATACATATAATCGTTTATGCGTATTCGGTGAAAATCATATATGCATATCAATCATACGCATTTAACTCTATAAATTATATTTCATAGGATTTAAGTATGCGCTTGGTGTGACTCTAGGGCCCAATTTAAGACTCGACAGTGAATCATATCCACAAGTACAACAGAGGTGCTAGTTACATATGAAGACTACCCGGTATCAGTTGTGATAAATGTCTGCAAAATGCTTGCATAATTTTATCAGGATCACTCAGTGATAACATTGTACAGTTTGGTCTTTTCGTCAAACAATGTCAAACTATCAAGCCTAGGGTATGGAAAACTGTCAAACCCTAATTGCTTGATTAGTGTTTGTTGATATTAAATTTATAACCTTTAAGATCAAATTGACACTCGGTTTATCTTATTTATCTAGGCTAAGGATTTTCAGGCTATAGTTATATCAAACAATCTTATGACATCAATCCTCTATACTGGGAGAGACAAATCTCATCTTGACATCTCAATATCTACTTATGTCTCGGGATGCACCCAACAAGAATCGTTATGCACAACTCAATGAGAACTGTGGTTAGGTAAAAGTCTAAGTACACCTATCAGACATGTAAGATATTGCACTCATGCCTCAGGTCATGAGACTACTTTGTACTATATCTCTTGAGAACTTCTATTCGATAGTTAAGTATAATTAGTTAATTACCAATTAGACGTTCTCAGTGAGCTGTTCAGTCAACTCATTCACTAATGAGTCACCTGTATAGTATATCTTGATGTCTCACATCAATGATCCTAGAGATGGATCAACATCCTACTAAAGGAGAAATAAAGTATACACTGGTCTTTCCAAAGTGATGATGTCTCATTTCTACACTTCATCGACTAGGAATATTTTAGAATATACGTTAGTGACAAATCAGATCTTTTCATTACGATTTATCCGAAATGTCTGATAGTCTAGTATCATTTTAAGGACTTTATCTGTATTAAAATACCAGATAAATCTAACCAAAATAGCATACTATCATTTTGAACAAGGATGTTATATTCATATAGGTCCTGTTACAATATACAATTATTGCCTGCAGGGCATCTATATCTAACACTAACAGTTATAGCTGCGAGGTTTCTCCTATGCCTAATCTCAAGATATTTTAATCTGATCATTTTATTTTCTCTAGTCTAATGGATCTTATGGAAATATCCATCCCAATTTTCGTGTATCATTAAAATTTGTATCATTACAATTGGCTTTAAAGCTGACATTGCTGGAAACAGTTGACTTTGATACCGACCAGTTTTGTTTGAGAAGTGAAGCATTTAACAATTTTAGATTGGGAGATGCCTTCTCAACAAAGTATCTGTATTTGATGATCCTAATGAATTGCTAAAAGAAGTCCACTCTGTGGATTGAGGATGAGGAATACGTTTGCCACAGTGATGAATTGATTTTGGAATTGAAGATGAAACTTGATTTCTAAGGTTACGATTAATGCTATTGATGTGTAACAGTCGAAATATAGAGGAGTGGATAAATGAAAACCTTCTTTCGCTAGTAGAAAGATCACTTCTATTGCTGGTCTGTTGTATTAGAAGTTGCTTTAACTGGAAGGGAAAGATAAAGACATTAATGCACCTGATTTACTGTTTGCCAGTTTGCAAACAGATAAGCTAGTATACGAAATACACATTCATTAGTTTAGTGACAACACTGGCTACACTGGCGCTATCAAAGGTCTGATAATTCGTGTATCTTTAAAAGAGGTTGCAATTGGTGACCTAGTTTTGCGAAGCGTTTATCAAAAATTTTCTTTCCATATTTGATGTCAACTCACCTTGTTCTGCTATTAACTATTAAGGTGTACCAAAATGGTAATAACCATGTTAATAGACTATGTAACAGTCCGTATTGCGAATGAGGAATCTGTGAATAGCTGGCTAAGCGGAAAGCAATATTGTTTCATCTTCTTAGTTGCATCATATTCTTTTCCCTGCTTTATTGTTATTCATTGGAACGTCAGAAAGCTTCACTTAAGTTATAACTTCAGAAAATTTGACATTTTGGAATGTCACTAGAACAAGAAAGTCTTTGTCCCAAATTTTGGGTTCGGCTACTTGAGTGCTTTACTAAGTGCTATCTTTTTGCTTAGATTAGTCACTACTATATCCTTTTTACTTGAGTGCTTTATTGAGTGCTATCTCTTTGCTTAAGTTAGTCACTACCAATATCATTTTTAATAGTTTCTAACCAAATTCTCTTAGGCTTACCTTTAATCACAGTTGTTATAACAAATTTTCTACTAGGCAACAGATCTACAGTATTTTATAAGAATTATGTAAATAAAATTAGATAAAGATGGTATCTTTGTGGTTGGCAGCGATTTCTTGAATGGTGGTAATGAACTATAAAAATGATGGAGTCTTTAGACTGAATGTCTACTATTTGGTCGATTTGAATCTTTCAGCAGCATTAATGTTGTAATAAGCAAAATAGAGACCAAAATAAAACGGAAATTTTAACTGCAATACAACTTCAAATTTCATTACTTCACTTGATGAATGATACAATTCAACAGAAAACAAAAGACGCATTAATCTTATTCTCCTAAACTCCTTCCAACCAAGCATTAATGTTTACCTAACTAAAACCATGCATTGCAACCGAATCACAATAAAGTTAACCTAACTAAAACCATGCATGACAACCCACTCCACTCCTAATTAGTCCTTCTCAACTGATCAATCATATAAGCCTAGAAACAAGGATTCACATGCTAAGAAACATCATGTTGAAGGTGAGAAAACAAGCAACCGGAAGGACGAATTTCTTGGTGGGAGTGATTGCGTGGAGGGTGAAGATAAGAGTCAAGCTGACGAGGAAGCACACTGCATCAACGATCAGAACCGTGTGGGGAATACGACGGGTATACGACATTGACCCTAGTATTATAGTGGAGTGGAGCACTAACATTGCGTAGAAAAACACAAAGAAGAGTTGGAGATAGAGAGAAAGAGGTCAGAGAAGTCGTAAAGCTAAATATCAAGATTCAGCCAAAAGGTTAGAGCAAAGCATATTATTTTTGTCCATATAACCAAAGGGTTCCTCTAGGATCTTTTCTCACCTCACTCCTAGCTTTTCTCTCTTAACTTTTTGAAGTTTTAGAAATTTCTCTCTTAACTTTTCTCGCCTCACTCCTAGCGTTCCACTCCACCATAATACTAGGGTCAATGTCGTATACCCGTCGTATTCCCCACCCGGTTCTGCTCGTTGATGCAGTGTGTTTCCTCGTCAGCTTGACTCTTATCTTCACCCTCCACGCAATCGCTCCCACTAAGAAATTCATCCTTACGGTTGCTTGTTTTCTCACCTTCAACATGATGTTTCTCGGCATGTTGATCCTTGTTTCTAGGTTTATGTGATTGATCGGTTGGGAATGACTAATTAAGAGTGGAGTGGGTTGCAATGCATGATTTTAGTTAGGTTAACTTTACCATAATTCGGTTACAATGCATGGTTTTAGTTAGGTTAACATTAATGCTTGGTTGGAAGGAGTTTAGGAGGCTAATACGTCTTTTATTTGATGTTGAGTTGTATCCTTCATGAAGTGAAGTAATGAAATTTGAAGTTGTATTGCAGTTAAAATTTTCGTTTTCTTTTGGTCTCTATTTTGCTTATTTCAACATTGATGTTGCTGAAAGATTTAGATGGACCAAATTGTAGACATTCAGTCTATAGTCATTTTTATAGTTCATCATTAACACCATTCAAGAAATCGCTGCCAACCACAAAGGTATCATTTTTATCGAATTTTATTTACATAATTCTTATAAAAATACTGTATATCTATTAGCTAGTAGAAAAATTGTTATAACATCTATGAAAAATGTGCTATCTCTTTGCCTAAGGGCAACTCCAACAAGCTCCCACCCCACCTCCTAAGGCTGAGGTGGCAGTGGGAGCTTGTTGGAGATGCTCCAACAAGCTCCTAGGCGGTCTCCTTAGGCTGATGTGGCCAACGGGTAGGAAGTGGGGCCCAGTGGAGCTCCTAAGCGCTCCACAAATTTGTAGAGCGCTTGGGAGCTCTCAGGGAATATTTTTTTTACACAAAAACCCCTATCTAGTTATGAGGGGTTTTTTTGATAGAAGAAGGATTTTTCTGATATTGTTGGAGCTCATAACTAGGAGTTTGTTGGAGATCAACATTAGTTAGGAGGTCTTCCATGTGACGTGTCATTAAAAATGGTGGGCCATGGTCTTGAGAGGTCTTGAGAGCTCTCCAACAAGGACTCCCAACTAGGAGCTTGTTGGAGATGCTCTAAGCTAGTTACTACTGTATCATTTTCACTTGAGTGCTTTATTGAGTGCTATCTCTTTTGCTTAAGTTAGCCACTCCAAATTGATGCATTTAAGACCATGTGCAATGTTTAATACCTAAAATCTCCAATGAGAAGCTGAATCCCAAAGGATGAATTGCATTGGATTCTGAGCCTACTTGACAACTTGGAGAAGGCCAAATCCAACCTTTTGCATAGATGAGTCCTTATATTGGGAAGCTAAACTTCAAAAAGTTCCAGAAACTCATGGACAGTAATCCTATTTCCTTGCTTCTTAGGACAACTTATTGTCTTCACACGAGTCTCAGAATTTCTGCTTTCAGATTTAAACGTGGAAATTGCAACACAATGCTGCCATTTTTTGTTTCAACTAATGTGCTTACACGAAGCTAGCAAAGACATCAATTGGTTAAAAAGTAAAAGTTCATTTCTTTGAGACAATTTAACCCATGGATTGCTATTCTTTTCCTTTTTTTTTTGGAGAAACGTGTTTTTTTAGAAAAATCAGTTCTGTTTTATATTGTTAAAAAATTCAAAATCTAAATGCCTTATTTGTCAATTAATCTTTGATACAACAATCAAATTCCATTTTTATATTTTTTGCAGCATGTACGCAGAATTAAGTTCCTCGGCCAAGGAAGACGACCCTCAACCAACCGTTGAACAATTCCTCTCCTTTCACTCCTCTCTATCCACCTCTTCCCTCGTATCTGACTCCTTCCTCAAATCCTTCTCACCTTCCCTCTCCTCCCCCGACCAATCCCCCATCAACACCAACACCGTTGACCAGGATGCTGACGCCCAAAAAGTCAACATCCAGCTCAATGCTGAGCGTCGCCAGTTTGCCACCTCCTGGGTCAATGCTGCCCTTGCCACCGACCTCTCCTCCTTCACCATCTACACACCAAAGTCAACCCCTCAAAGTCAAACTCAACCCCAAACCGTCATGCTCCTCAATTCTCCAGCCAAGTCAATATCACCACAACCCTCTACCACCAAGTCCAAAACCTCTACAAAGAAGCCCGGGAAGTCCCGGGGCCCACAGGCACCAATGTCGCCCCCGCGTGAGTGGGTCCCGCGTGGAGGAGCTGAGGACGGTGCTGAGCTGGCGAAGCTGATGAAGGGGGAGTCGAAGGTTTGGTTCTTGGGGTTCGTGGAGAGGTTCCTTGATGCTGATGTGGGGGAGCGCCTGCCTTGGGATCGGGGTTCGGTGGCTGGGATGCTTTCGCAGCTGAAGAAGGTGAATGATTGGTTGGATGACGTGTCGGATTTGGAAGGCAAAGATTCGACTGAGACTGTTGATAGGATAAGGAAAAAGATTTATGAGTATTTGCTGACTCATGTGGAGTCAGCTGCTGTGGCGTTGGGAGGTGGAGGTGGTTTGACTATTGGAGGACAAGCGAGAAGATGTTGATTTTTTATCCTGGGGTTTGTATATAACTTCCAATTTATTTTTTCAATTTGGTGTATGTTGATCATTGTTCTTTGATAGCAAATACTAATTGTTGGGAGAGCATTTAAAATTTCTAATCAAAATTCTGGAAAAGAAAATTTCTAACTACAATGACTTGGTGTCTTACGTTCTCATACAATTCCTTTATTTTGCAGTGAAAAGAAAATTTGCTTGCTAGCAGTTCTTGTGGTTGTGTATACTGTAGAGTTGCCTTGACGCTATTTTCTTGCTTAGATGTAAATATTCTGGAAATGAAAACAAAACCTTGTTCCATGTATGTTTTCAGTTGATTTCCAAGCTCCAGTCTTACTCATTGCAAGTGCGCAGTAACCAACTGCTCAAATTTGGAAGATCTTGCATCCTGTCTATTGGATAGTTCATATTTCAAATGGGAGAAAAACTTTCGGACCCTTTTATTTTGTACTGGTTTTAGGGCAGACAATTTTCGGATCAGCAATTTTTCAATGGATAGGGTCTTTTCAGATTTGAAGCTGCTGCAGATCTTGCTGGACGTCTGCATAGCTAATAACCCAGTATTCATTAGTTTTTCGCACAGTGGAAAATTTCTTAATTTTCTGAAATTGCATTTGTTATAATGTCACTAGTCTCTGCTGTTCTGCTTGGTTTGGTAGTCTGCAATTCTGTGTAAGGTGATATTTGCTAGAAATACGCTTGTTGTTGCCATAAGTATTACAATAAGAAACAAAACGATACTAATGTGACAATGTGATTTGGGAGATAAACCTGTTAAGATTCCAAACCTTTATCCTTAACTGGATGTAGTATCACTTACAGTTTCTGATGTTGAATGTCTGGATGCCTGTTATTCTTGCACATATCAGTCATCGGAAAATTTTGTTACAAGCAAAATTTTGTGTAATTGCAGATTTGCCTGAACCAATTGAGACGGTTGGATTTGGGGGACGCTATTCAGCGACAGCTGACGAGTTTGTCGATCCTGAGAATAAATAGTTCTTCAATCGCTAATTGACCAGTGATTGTTCACAGAATAGTTCTCTAGATTTGTAGCGATATTTCTCGGACTAAAAAGAATATTACCCCTTGCTTTGGCACTTCAAATCACGAGCTTTGCTACTTTTGTTGCTGTTTCTCATGTCTCAACCAAAGAGTTGATCTCGGTGAAGTATAAAACTTGTCCAGTTGGTCTTTTGAATCATTGGAGAGTTAGCATTTAGCCTAAACAAGAACTCTGCTATTCTTTCCATCTAAATTGTCCAACGATCTTCCTCTTTTAATTTAATTATGACCCAAAACTATTATGTATTCTACTTGCTTCAAGCATTGCAATAAGAAACAAAAACCTGTACATATGTAGCAGTTTCATGGGAGAGAAAACTATCAGAATTTAGACATAATTCATTAGCTTTTGATCATTTTGTTCTAAATTTGACTATAATTGGTATCATATACTATTGTCTTACATGAGAAATTGGATATAAGTTTAATCCTCCCTCCAGAGTAGAAAGACTTTAGAGTCAAAGACATTCATACAATTCTGCCCATTCCTCAAGTCAGGTTGGTAAAACAGTCATGTGTGTTTGCATAAATACTATCTATACAATGTTTTTTTTATATATTATTATTAGATTTAGAAAATCAATTCTCTTACTTGATCATCAATATAAAAAAAAAAAATTAATTTCTCAAAGTATTGATGTCAACATCATCTCAGTCTCTGGCCATAGATTTCTCTACGACCCCAAGCAGGCGAAGACTTTGAAAAGTCTTTCTCTAGACTGCTGACTCTCAAGTCTTTCCTACCCAACACAAAAAAAATCAACCCCTATAATACATCAAAACTACAAAAATACCCCTCTCCTTTTATACATCAATATGGAGCCAAAAATATTTTACAGAAAGAAAAAGGAAATACTCTTTTAATGCAGCAAGCAGGCAACTATGGAGAACCAATGAGAATGCAAGGATCAATGGAAAAAGTTTCATAGGATACAATTGTAATTTGTGTTTCAGATGAAGGGTATTCAGGAGAAGATCACTTCTATATAGTGGACAGGTTTTTGATTGGTTCTTCATTGTCACTGGGCCAATATGGAGGGCAGAATCTTGTTCCTACAGTTGCTTTTAGCTGCTCTTTGTGCTCATCTGTGTGTTTCTGAGGTTATATTTGAGGAGAGGTTTGAAGGTATGATGTTTATATCCAGAAACACCCCGCTTTTATTTCTGGTCTTTGCATCTTTGTTTGATGAATTGAGCTGCACATGAGATCATTGTTTGTGATTATTAATTTCCTATGATTTTCATGTCTTTATGTAAATTCATCTTGCCTTTAGATGAGGGGTTAGTGATGTTCCTAATATTTATTTATGTTCACAAAAAAAAAAAAACCCGAGTTTTAATTTATCAAAGGAAAGTTCCTTAAGGTAGCTCTGAGGAAAATTTGGAGTTCATGTGGAGTAATAATAGTAATGATATGATTGGTTTAGACATAAAAAGTATAATGGTTGCCTAAACAAGCAATAAGTTTGGTTCTGTATTGAGGCAAAATTGAACTTCGACAAGTGTTTGGCTAACAATAAATTGATAATTTTGTTACCTTGTGCCACTCTGACCATTTTTGCTTTGCTTTGTGTATAAAAAGATGGTTGGGAGAGCCGATGGGTGAAATCAGACTGGAAAAAGAGCGAAGGAAAAGCCGGAACATTTAAGCATACAGCAGGAAGATACTCAGGGGATCCAGATGATAAAGGCGTGCATTAGCTCTCTTCAGATATTACCAGTAGTTATCGAATACTGAAGTATTTCTTAACTGATACGTTAATTTCATATTATGGGCTTGTTTCAGGCATTCAGACATATCCAGATGCAAAGCACTACGCAATATCAGCAAAAATTCCTGAATTCAGCAATAAGGGCAGGACATTAGTTGTTCAGTATTCGATAAAGTTTGAGCAGGAAATTGAATGCGGTGGTGGTTATATTAAGCTTCTCTCTGGTTATGTTAACCAGAAAAAGTTCGGTGGCGATACTCCTTATAGGTTTGCCTCGATATTCTTCTGTAGACTTTTGGTACTGCTGCACGCTCCGTGTAAATTCTACACGCTCATGTTCTCCTTTGATTTATGGTTACAAATTTCTTAGTCAAGGGAAAAAAAAATTCTACTGTTATTGGTAATTAGCTATTGAATCTAGCCATTCTAGGCTCTTCGAACAAAAAGAGTCCTTGGTTATGCAAGCTTGAAGTGCAAATAGGTTTGGTTCTCTACTTGTCAATTGACCTCATAGTATTTACGGCAAGCCCCTATTTCGTCTACAGATTCCTTATCAGGAATTTATCTATGTAGGGTATAAAATAATAACCCTCAACCTTCAGTATAACTTTAAAGTTTTGGTGTAGTGGCAGACCAGCAGGGACATTTAACCTGGTATGAGAGCAACTTAGGTTTGGCCCTTACTGGCCACAACTTAAAAACGGAGTTTTAAAACTGATATAACTACGTGAGTCTAAGTTTCTGCCTGTTAAATGCATGCAACCTGCGGGGCATACCAGAATTTAAAATTATAACCCTATCTTAGAGTATAATGATTCGTTAACTCTTATGTTTGGTTGCAAAACCCATAGAGATGGACTAAGCTAATCTGCTTGGACTCAAATTGACTCAAGAGGGTTAATCATTAAACGTGTCGGGAGTCCAAACACAGTTCCTTTTAACCATATTTCTTCTAATATGAGACTAATCCGATCTCATGACTTTGCTGGACTAAACTCATACTTGAACTGAATGAATGCGAGACACTAATAACGCTCTATACGATTGATAGAGATTTAGAACAGACTTACATATGGAACCCATCCTCAATGAATTGTTTTGCACCCAAAAAGTCCAATGGTTTCTATTTTCTAAGTAGTACAACCTTACCACTCAACCCTTTGCTAACAACATTCAACTAGCTCAATCCTTATAGTTTTTGTTCTAAAACAAAATCCTTATAGTTTTAATCCTAAAGTTTCTCTTTGCAATATATGCAGCTTGATGTTCGGACCTGACCTATGCGGTACACAAACAAAGAAGCTCCATGCAATAGTCTCCTACCAGGGACAAAATTATCCTATCAAGAAAGAATTGCAATGTGAAAATGACAAATTAACACATTTCTACACATTTATTTTGAGGCCAGATGCTTCTTACAGTGTCCTGGTGGATAACCGCGAAAGAGAATCAGGAAGCATGTATACTGATTGGGATATTCTTCCTCCTCGAAAAATTAAAGATGTCGATGCGAAGAAGGTTGCATATCCGTTTTATTCTTGGACAAAAAAAAACTTGTTTATATTTTTCTTCTTCTGATTTTCTACATCATTTTGTGGCAGCCAAAGGATTGGGATGAGAGGGAATATATCGATGATCCTGATTCTGTCAAGCCCGAGGTATACTATGAAATATTTTCATCTGGAGTAAGATTTATTCAATATGATTTTTTTTATTAATGTGTTTATGTGATGTAGGGATATGATTCAATTCCAGCTGAAATTCCGGACCCAAAAGCTAAAAAGGTACACATGTTACTCCCCAATAGAAGATTCACACGTCTATAACAATTTTACAGGGTAAAAATGAAGAAAAAAAAGGCTTCATTGACAGTTTTCTTTTTGTATTTTCTTTTCTTTTATTAGCCTGGTACATGGGATGAAGATGAAGATGGTATTTGGAGACCACCAAAGGTACCGAATCCCGCATACAAAGGAACATGGAAGCGTAAGGTGACCTTAGGATATAATGTTAAATTTACATGCAAGAGGATTTGTAATGTAGCAAAGCTAAATTAGTTATTATTGTAAAATTACAGAGAATTAAGAACCCAAACTACAAAGGGAAATGGAGAATCCCGTGGATTGACAACCCAGGTAAGCAAAATATTTGGTCAAGTAGTTTCTTCAGGAAGTAAATTCATTTCCCCATATGGTGAGAGTAGTAGAGTCATGAGATGACTGTTACCTTTTCTTTTTACAATTATACTTGTAATTGTCATTCCAAATAGTTACATGATATTACAAATTACCGACAATGAGCAAAAAAGAGCTTGGTATCGTGTAAAAGTGCTTTATGGGCACAACAATTTACGAAAAAAGGATTGCTTCGAATGTTCAGAACATAGTTTAATTCTCATCTTTCTAATTCATGCACACGATATTTGTAAATACTACTCTCACTTTTGATTACAATTGTGCAGAGTTTGAAGATGATCCGGACCTTTATGTGTTGAAACCTCTGAAATATGTGGGAATTGAAGTGTGGCAGGTTTAGTTTGTAGAAAGTTTCCATTTTGCATTCTAGTCATTAGTCTGTAACTCTATATAATGATCTAGTGGATTCAATCTAAATACTTTTATACAGGTGAAAGCTGGTTCAGTTTTTGATAATATCCTGATTTGTGATGACCCAGAGTACGCAAAGCAAGTCGTCGACGAAACTTTTGCCAAAAATAAAGAGGTAATAATATTCACATTTCTCCCTGTTTCCGTTCAGCCTTGATCATATTTCACATTTTGATCAATGTTTTCTACTCATTATTTCAGGCTGAGAAAGAGGCTTTTGAGGAAGCAGAGAAAGTGAGACGAGCAAAAGAAGAAGAGGTGAATACAAATATTTTTGTCAATATAAATCATATACTCAGTCGTGCTGTTGACCGTATAATCATTATAGATGACTAATGAAATACTTTTTACAGGAGGCTCAAAAGGCAAGGGTTGAAGGTGAAAAAATAAAGAGATCAAGGGACAATGATCGACGCCATAGAGATAGGGGCCATTACAGAGACAGATACAAAAGGGTACATGTTTTTCTTCTGAGTTGTGATTATTGTCGTACAAAACTTCAGTAAACACTAGGACAATACTTTGGTAATTATTGTTTTTATAATGCTAGGCTATTAGAAATTTGTCTAATAATACTTCGATAAATACTAGATTGTTGCCAGAAAGGTTTGCCGTAAACCGCTAAATATTGTTGGAGCACTTGAAGATGAAAATTTTAAATCATGCATGCATGGAATTGACAACAGTGTTACAAAGGAGCAGGCATTTTTACTCTTATATAAGTTCCATTTTTACTTCTAGAATCTTAATATTCCTCCTTGAATATAACCAACCAATTGATTCTTAAAATTGGAATTCTATATCTTGTTGACATTTTCTAACTAATAAAAAAAATGCTTTTTCAGCGCCGGGATTATATAGATGATTATGATCATGTAAGTTCTTGAAACATCAATCTTCATGTATATTCATTTCATTTAAAGTTTGATACTGAAGTACTGCCCTTCCTTATTTTTATACAGGACGAATTATGAGATCAAGCTATTGAAAGAAGAGAAGAAGAAAAATATTTTGCAACTAATTTGGCTATTTTGAACGATTGTACTTTATTGCATGTACTGTTGCCATCAATAAAAGAGGAGTTCAAGACTGATTGTGTTGAGAATATAGTTCATGAATTGTGCAAAGGAGCAAGAATCCATATCATGGAAATTTATGAATACGTAATCCAAAACTATGATGGAAATTGTAAGAACACATGATTTATATCTAGTGGATTCTCTGATGTCCAAGTACATCTAATCATCACATCACATCAAATGCACCTAAACTTTTTGATAGCGTCAAGGGGATTCATATCCTCAAATTAGTTGGTAATTAGAGACTCTCTAATTCATCATTGATGTACATTTTTATTTCAATGGACGAGATTCGACCATGTAGGATTCCACTATTGTGATGGTGGTTTTCATAGAAAAGCGATTTTCGAAAAATAGTGGTTTTTAAGACCATGGTGGTATTATCTCATGGTCTAATCTAGGCCCCCGAATTCGAAATGTATGTCAATAATTAGAGGAATTGAAGACACTCTAATTAGTACCTAACTAGAGAGTATCCGGTGTGTGTTTTTTTTATTGAGGAAGGAGGGGAATGTATTAAGTAGTAATTTGAATATTGGTTTGGTTCGTAGAGTAGAAGAAGGATTTGAAAAAGTAAATAACCATCATTGGTGTTACTTAAAGCAATATAATTGATTTGTTAGTGCAATCACAAATATTAATATTTAAGGGTCTAATATAAAAAATCAGTATGGGACATAATTAAGAGTCTAATATGAGAAAAATCCAAAACTCCTATGGAGATTTCTCTATACGGAGGGTAGGATGTTAATACTCTCTTTCAACCGAAACTTAAAAGTTGCTAAGTTAATAAAGGAGAATATGACATGTTTTTGACAAAAAAATTTATTTAAGAAAATGTTAAAAAAACATAAATTTTGATGTCACATTACCTTTAAGATCTTTATTCGAAGAGAAAGATGGTGTCCAAGTCCTTCCTCCTATGTCAGTTTTGTTAAAGAGGAACCTTGGGAGTTCTATTTCACAAAACTCCTTGAACTTTGGGTGATTTTTCACATGAACCCTCTGATTTATTATCACAAACTCCTCTATACTAAGGGGCATCTCACAAACCCACTGAGCTTTAAGTTTTTATCACCAAACTCTCCACGTGTGAGTGACAATAACTAGAATGTTTAGACAATCAGGGGAGCACTCAGTTTGTCTGTTAATTAGGCTACTATCATTTCCCCAAAAGAAGAAAATTTCTCAAAATGGATCAATAAAAACATATTCTAAGATCCAACCGAACCATAAAACCAATTAATGCTCAACCCTAGACCCCTAGGGTGGATTAGTAAGACAAGAAAAGTTCTAAGGGCTTAGTGAAAACCAGCACAAAGTTCAGCGAGTTTCGTGAAATCTATACCACTTATAAAAGAGAATACTCATGTCAAAACTTATAATTTCCCTTTTTACCCTCTCATTTTTTATCCCTCACAATTATATCATTATTTATAAAACTAATGATCCATAACCTCTTATTAACTATGCACCTCTTCATTTTCTCAAATTATTTGGTCATTCACTAGAATATATTGATAATTTATAATGATAACAAAATTTATAAATATATGATAATTTATTATAAATAATTATTAATTATATAGAATAGTAAAAGTCATTCATTTAATAAATTAGTGCATATAATTATAATTATTAATAATAGTATAAATAGGGGTTACTTCTTTATGTTGCAAAGAATATTACCTTGTTCGATAATTAATATCATCTTAGTGATAAAAAAACTGGACATTATAAATTAAAAATATTTTTATTTTTAAAAATTAATTTATATAAAAATATTTAGATCCATGAAATTTATGAGAGATATACTTTTCTCTTCTTTTCCCCAAAATATTTGGTCACTCGTTAGAATATATTAATAATTTATAATGATAATAAAGTTAATAAATATATTATAATTCATTATAAAATAATTATTAATTATAATGAAATAGTAAAATTATTTATCTAATAAAATATTGTAGATAATTATAGTTATTAATAATAGTATAAATAGGTGTTGATTCTTTATATTGTAAGGAATATCACCTTTTTTGATATTATAATATCATCTTAGTAATAAAAATCGGTCATTATGAATTAAAAATACTTTTATTTAGAAAAGTTATTTTATATAAAAATATTGGATTTTTGAAATCTATGAGGCATTTACTTTTTGTTGGAAAGTAAATGTCTTATAAATTTCAAGGATCTTATATTTTTATATAAAGTAATTTTCCTAAATAATAGTATTTTTAATTTATATCATCCAATTTTTTGTTACTAAAATGATATTAATTATCGAGCAAGGTAATACCTTTTACAACATAAAGTCATATATAATATTAAAAATTACTACCATTATTTAATAAATATTATAGTAAAATATGTCCATAACATAAATAAAATAATATAAAGGGTTTAATTATATCAATAGTGTTACTTAAACTAATGATTACATTCTTGTTTAATAATTATACTCCTAAATAAATGGTTTAATAATATAATAATAAGTTAATTTAAATAACTATTAAACGTATGTTAATAATAGTATGAGTATTAATTATAGTATAACTTAAATTTTTTTAATCATAGTGCAATTAAATAACTTTGTAAAATGTTTATATATAATTTATTAAATAATATTAAATAATATAATATCAAATACAACAACATGTCCATGTGTAAAACATGTGCATTATACTAGTTATCCTAAAGAATAAAATATGGCCTATGATTTCTTGCAATTTGCAAGAAGATAATATTTTCTTTGCAAATCTAGATCATTAATGGAGCTTTAATGCAAAATCCAAACGCAGATTCACAGAAGACGGAACTGTGGTGGACTCACACGGAACCAACCCGATATAACTTCCATATTCTCAAACCCTAACAAATCCCCCAAATTGAAAACCCTAACCAATCTCAATGGCTCCCCCAATCAAATCATCGGATCGCCGAAGCCACTCATCTTCGAAAGATCGAGAGCCCGAAGCGACTTCATCGCTCAATCTCTGGGTGGGGGATCTCTCATCGGACACCGAGGATGCCGATCTGATGGAGATCTTTCGAGATTATGGCGCGATGGATGCCCTAACTTCTTACACTCCGAGGACCTACGCCTTCGTCTTCTTTAGGAAACAGGAGGACGCGAAGAAAGCGAAGGAGGCGCTCCAGGGATCGATCGTCAAGGGGAAGCCCATCAAGATCCAGTTGGCTCGTCCGGTTCGTTCTCGTCGCTTGTTCTTTGATTGTGATTCGATGTGTTTTGGTTTGGAAATGAATTTTTGTCGTAGGGAGAGCAACTGTGGTTATAAAAGTTGAGTTTTTATATAATTATGTGTAATTTTTTAATCTTATTGATGGTTTTTTATAAATTTGTCTGCACGATTAACATTTTTTTAGTATGCCATTTAATCTTATAGATGGATTGCAGATAACCCCCTATCTATACATTTTTAGTGGTGATTATCACCTCTAAGTTCATGAGGGCGAGAGGTTTAAGTGTGGATGAAATAGTTGAAGAGTGTTTGGTGCTACTGAAGGTATAGATTCAGGGGAGTTATCTGCAAGTTACACATGATCTATATAGTATGTCTCTCACGCATCATTAGGAGGAGCTTGATATTTAATCTAAAAGTATCGAGTCAAGTTAGGTGCTACACATTTCACATTTTCTCCCTTTCGCTCAGCGACAGATATATTTCGAAAGGAGAAAACAAGGAAATGATTCAATATCACCATTTTGAAATTCCTGTATATGGTTATGGTTATTCGGTCTAGGCCTAAATGCATTGATTCCTTCTAAACTGTTTTCCCTCTAAAGCTGGAATCTGTTGCAATCTGTTCTGAAATCTGATTCTCTCTGTGTCCTGGTTAGGAATCTTGGAGTTTGTTGTGGTGAGCATTAACATGGCAGGCTGTACAATGTCTTTAGAAGTGTTTTAATTATTGTAAAATATGGTTATATAGCAGTAATTGTGTATAAAATTCTAAGCGTTTGATACGAATCTAGTCAAAAGGTGATTGATGCCACTGAAATTGGCTAACAATGGTGAATAGTTAAGATTTGACGCTTGGTATACCCGAAATTGATTTGAAAATGTCATATTAGAGAGATTAATGAATAAGAAGATTGTAATTAAACTCTGATTGCGGAGAGGTGCTGTTTAATTTTACTTTTTTCTTCTTTGGGAGAGGGGACGCCTTGTGAAGTGATTTCTTTTTTTATAGCTTTTTCTTCCTATCTCATTATGGGTGATGAGAACACTCTTTATTTTGAAAATACTACTTATGAAAGTAGATGTTACCAAAAGGTACATTAACTGCCATTATGAATAATTTTACAAATATGTTTGGTTATGACCTGAAAATCATTACCTTTCCACATATATGTGCATGTTTCTGTCTTATCAATTGGTTCCCTTCCTGGCATGTTGCTACCATTTTTATTTTGTTAGCGTCAAGGTTTACTCTATTTAAAGTCTCAAATTTGTCAGGGCAAGGTGAAAAGCAGGAAACCCTATGGCTGAGGATCAGCCCAGGATCTACTCTTTTTATGTTACATTATCTTTATAAGGTGTTGCTTTATAGGGTTTTAGGGTGAAAGTTTTCTTAAAATACTTGCAGGCAAAACCGGGTAAGTGTCTATGGATTGGTGGTATCAGTCCGGCTGTTACTCAGGAACAACTTGAAGATAAGCTTCTGCAGTTTGGAAAGCTTGAAGAATACAAATTCCTCAGAGACCGGAATTCTGCTTTGGTTGGTTATACCAAGCTTGATGATGCTATTGCTGCTCAAAGGGACATGAATGGCAAAAGTATAGGCGGTGAACAAGTACGTGTTGATTTTCAAAAGCCACAAACTCAGAGACTGCCATCCTCGAGAAACGTATGTGTACTTTGTTGCCATTTTGGTTATCACTATCATGTTGCTGCTGCATCTGCTGTTGCTTTATTATGCATCCATATTACTTGCCTAGTGTATACTCACATCATGTAACGTCATATCTTGATAACGCCATGCTTGTTTATTGACATGAGAACAGGATTGGCCTGAAAATCACAATCCAAGGGGTAGTGGGAGGAATATTGGGCCACAGGAAAAATATATGGGATATGACGATGCAAGAAATTATCACGAGTCTACCCACCAAGGGTCTAAAAGGCATCTGGTACATATGAGTCAGCTTTTATATTTTGAAAATAGTATGACTACCTGTTTTCTGTCAGCTTATAGGCCAACCACTGTCTCAGTTCCTAACAGCTCTCTTGTTGTTTTCTCCTTGTTTTTGTTCAAACCATCTCAGCCGCATGGAGGAAGGCGAGATGGTCCACCAAGCAGTACTTTATGGGTAGGATATCCGCCATCATTTCATATGGATGAACAGATGCTGCATAATGCCATGATTTTGTTTGGCGAAATTGAAAAAATCAAGAGTTTCCCTTCTAGGCATTATTCCTTTGTAGAGTTCAGGAGTGTTGATGAAGCTCGACGAGCAAAGGAAGGTCTACAGGGTCGCCTTTTTGGTGACCCTAGAATACAAATTCTGTTTTCCTCCAGTGACCTTGCACCTGGTGGTAAGGATAATGCACCACTTCTTCCTGGATACAGAGTGCCTAGGACAGATCTGCTCTTTAATGAACCTCCTTTTGGGCCCAGTTATCCCCTGGCCCCAAACTCCTTTCATGGACATTTGCTTCCCAATGGGCCAGGACCAGGTATGTTAATAAGATTTCCTGCACATTTCCGCAGCAAGAAAATTTCAGTTTTCATGATTTTGCTGGTTTTTGTGTGTGCGCGCATGCACTGAACTTGCAGATGGTAACCCAAATGCTCCAAATTGGAGACAGTCGTCTCCTGCATCCCTCAGGCCCATGCCAAATGTGTGGGATGATGAATTTGACATGAGGGAACCAAAGAGATCAAGATTTGAAGGTTCTCCGTCTAATGATATTAGGTTTGGGCTGCTTCATCCTGAGAGGGATATCCCTAGTCAAAGTCGTGGTCTAGGGCGAGTGCGTGGATCACCTGACATCGACATTTATTGGCGCGGACTTATTGCCAAGGCTGGTGCACCTGTTTGTTGTGCTCGATGTGTGCCAATTGGGAAGGGTCTTGAGTCTCCATTGTAAGTTCTCTTGCTCGCTAGTAGAGGTGGAAATGAACCAAATAATTAACAAATAGTTTGTTAATTGTTTGACTAAGTATTCAGTCATATTCGATTCGGAAGTTCATTTAACACTAAACAAATAACATTTAGTATTTGAGTTCTAAACGAATAGAATTTACCCAGAGTTATATTCGATTTGTTTGCTGATCAAATATTTGTTTAAAATTTGGGCACTCATAATTTGTGTTATTACGCATATGATGTTATATCTTTAATCCACTTACATTTTCTACTTAAGTTCTATATAGTAGTTTTGAGAGCCTTAAAGAATCTTAGATAAGTTTTCTCATATGTCTCAGACTGTAGATACCTAAATATCAATACCGACTATGGAAAGAAACAACACTAGAAAATAAAACACCATAATGGACATTAACATATAATTCTCACGTACTCACAAGAGTAAGGTATCTTGCTCATATTATATATATATATGGGAAAAGTGAATCTAAGGTGACACCCTAGGCTCCCACCTAAGAACGCGGCCTAAAATCACATCATTTCCTAATTTTTTTTGCGATCCGCTCCGTTGAACTTGATATACACGTTCTTAAACCCAAACACACCAATTTTGGGATGAACCTGTCATGTTTTTACCCTTTATCCACTCGCTGTAATTTTAACGGTTTCGAATGAATAGAACTTTTTGCACGGCTCAACGATTGGTCAAAACACCGCAATTGGTGTGTTTGGTTTAAGAACGTGTAGATCAAGTTTCAACGGAGCGGATCACAAAAAAAATTTAGGAAATGATGTGATTCTATGCCGCGTCCTTAGGTGGGAGCCTAGGGTGTCACCTTAGATTCACTTTTCCATATATATATATATTATATATATATATATATATATATATATATTATATATATATATATATATTAGAAAAAATGGGTATACTTGTACCAAGGATCCTTGGTAGTTGATGTTGGACACATCTTGTCCATACATCACACCTTGAAGATGGAGCCTCACCAACTTCAAGGTGTGATGTATGGACAAGATGTGTCCACATCACTACCAAGGATCCTTGGCCAAGTATACCCATATTCCTCTATATATATATATATATATATAATATATTATATTATATATATATATATAAGTCTCTTCATATCTTGCATGGATCCCTACATGGATCCCTAGGTATCATCAATGGATAGAAAGTTTGGTGGATGGTCCACTTAAGTTGACATAAGAATTTCTCTCTCTATGTGTGTGTGTGTTGTAGAGAGAGAAATAATTGTCATTTATGAATTTAAATACTATTTAAAAATTAAATTCTTCAACAGAGTGCATATACTTTTACAATCGATAATTTTTTTTGAATATTTATCAAATACCGAGTATTCGAGTTTGAATTCGAAAAACTCCAGAAGTGGATATTCGAGTGTGGGTTCGAATTAGATAATTTTAAGCAAATACAAACATGAACATCTTAGTATTTGATTTGATTCGTTCATTTACCACCTGTACTTCCTAGCGTAGGCCATGTTTGGCGAACCTTATTGATGCAGTCTTACAAGTAAACCCTTCTTATAAGTAAACCTCCTTTGTAAGAGGGCGAAATTGTCTTTTCCAAACAACAAGTAAACCTCCTTATAACGGCAAAAGAAAAAGTTGGAAAATCGCAACTTATTTTTCCTACTTATAAGGAGAAAATAAGTATATAAGTAAAATTTATCAAACGTGACCTTGGCCCCGTTTAAGGAAAAACACATGTATTAAGTTAAAATAGGATTTTTCAAACATGATCTTATTTATTGCATAAGATCTCTTTATGTTGAGTTTAGACTGCTTGTTCTGACAATGAACTTATTGACAGACCGGAAGTAGTCAATTGTTTCGCAAGAACAGATCTGGATATGCTCGAAAAACATTATAGCGAAGCAATTGGTTTTGATATTGTCTTCTTTGTACCAGACAGTGAAGAAGAATTTGCCTCATATACTGAGTTTCTCCAGTACTTGGGTCTTAAAAACCGTGTTGGTGTTGCGAAATGTGGTGATGGGACTACATTATTTTTGGTTCCTCCGTCAGATTTTTTAACTAAGGTTTTGAAAGTGTCTGGTCCAGAACGGCTTTATGGGGTGGTTCTTAAATTACCGCCTCAACCAACAATAGAAACACAGCAACCTCGAGCTACTCCTCCACCTTCATCTCGTCATAATGTTCAGAGGCAGGAATCTGCTTCACATGATGGTTATGACTACATTCCTGGAAATATAGACCCTGCTCCAAGAATTGACCATGGTAGTGATTTGCATGAGAACTCTATTTCTAGGGGTGGGGCTGGACTTGTTAATCAATCTTATACTTTACCATCAGCTGCCAATAATTATGCAAGGAATTCTGAAGCCAATAATTATGCAAGAAACATTGAAGCCGATAATTATGCAATGAATCCTGAAGCCAATAATTATGCAATGAATCCTGAAGCCAATAATTTTGTAAGAAATCCTGAAGCTAGTTCCCAGGTTAAAGTTTCATTGACACCTGAACTTATAGCAACTCTCGCTTCTCTTATACCTTCTAGCAGTCAGTCATCAACTGCTGGGAGTAATAATATCTCTACGACATCTTCTTTCCCTGCCAATATAACTAGTGCTCCTGTCCAAAGGCGGATTCAAGAAAATCATGCCTCATTTCCCGCTTCACAGTTAGAGCCGAGAATGAATTTGCAGCAGCAGCCTCAGCAATTTAGGGGTCAGTATAATGCTGAGGAACCATTCACATCCCAATATCCATCATATGCCAGCTTGCCGAATGGCCCACACAACTCTGTTCAACCTTTTCTTGGTGACGAACAAGTTCAAGATCTTGCTCCAAACATGCCACAGAGGCAATTGGATAACTATGCCTCCTCCAATGGGCAGTCTTTAATATCAAGCAATCAATATTATCAGCATGATTCTTCCTTTGATCCCTATAATGCCCGAGGAATCCTCAACCAATCTGTCCAGCAGCAAGCAGCGCTTGCTAGCTCATCTACACAGGGCCAGACTCCAAATGTGCTCCAAAATCAAGTCGTCCCGAATGCAGGTTTTTCTGGTCAAATGGAGAGGCTGCAGATGGCTCTGAACAGTTCTGGCGATGGCTCGTCACGTGGAGATGAGGAGAAGAATCAGAGGTACCAGTCGACGTTGCAGTTTGCCGCCAGCTTGCTCCAGAAGATTCAGCAACAGCAACAAGGCAGTGGTCAAAAGTCGCCAGGGAGACCTGACTTTTAATCAGGTACTTCTTGTTAATCTTAGCTGCTCCTTTACTATTGAGAATATGCATGCTTAAATTAGTGTTGTCATAGTAGCTCATCTATGTCTTATATGGTAACATAGCTACTAAATGTTGGTGATTTATTATTCATACACCATTTGGTGGTTCTGTGACACCTTTTAGAGGCATAGGATTAATACTACCCACTAGTAGGACAACTTTATTTGAGTTGGTATATATTTTGGTGGTGGATCAAGATCACTAGCATACAGATATATTGATGGGATTTCGTGTTTGAGACCCTGCTGACTGTCCATGTTTTCAAATATGAGGTGAAGAAGCCTTAGGTGTCCTTTAATCTGACTTGCGGCAACCCTCAAAATGAATTGAGAAGCTTGAAATATAGGCTTAATAAAAGGAACATGTTACCAATTCTTCTTGCAGATGCTTTATTGAGATGGTTGAAGCCAAGAATTGATCTGATGAAACTTGAATCTTATAGATCTTTTATTAGAAGTATTTAGGATGCCAATAACTGACTACAATTATTCATATTTGAGTTAGTTGGTATAATTTGGGGCTTATGCAGCACACCAAGAACTGACTTTGTTGTTCTTGAATTATTTGGACTCGGGAGATGGAGAAGAGTTGAAATAATAGGAGAGCTCCATTGAGTTATATGACTTTAACTTGAAAAGTTATCACTGTTTAGAATGTGAGTCTTGAGGATTAAACAATATGGTTAATGAAGCATATCTTTTCGTTTAGCCATTATAGTTATAGCCAAAGTAATAGTTAACAAGGGAACATCATGATTTTTGTAGGTAAGGCTGCAAGCTGCTTTGCTGTATACATTGTTCTTTTAAAGAAATAATGCCATATGTGCATTTATTTGCATGCGAGTACATATACATATAATTACTGTCGATGTAAACTGACCATTTTTCATGTTTCGTCCGTTTATGATATTGCTTTCATCAGTTGATCTTCATATTTATAAAGTTTATACATCAAATTTTCTTTAAGTTGAGTCCTTACCTGAATAAAATGGGGCTTGAACATTTTTATGAAACTGCCATCTCTCTGTTTTACTCTTATTCCTTTAGTTAAAGCACCTGTTAGAAGCCCTGCCACTCTCAAGAATCCTCTTTTTCTCCCCCAACTAGAGGAAGGGAGGGGGTGGGGGAGGGGCCAGATTCTTTTACAAACGTTTGAACTTTTAAGATTCTTTTACGAACCTTTGAACTTGACCAAAATCTTTCTTATGAATAGGGGGAAGTAGATAGCCTTCTTTATGAACCTTGTTCTTTTACCGTTGCTGACCTCTTTCTGGGATGCACATTTTATCTTGGGAGTTTGTCTTAATACTTTTTTCAAGTTAATATAGGTAGTATTTGGTCCAAATATCTTCATGTTCATAAATGATGTCCACTGTTGCTTTTGGTAATTTTTTTTATATGTACTCGTATTTAGGCTAAATTATTATTATTATTATTATTATTATTATCCATTGACCAGTAGTTTGGTTAAGTGGTGTTTTTTGGGGGGCAAAATAAAGAAAAAAATAGGGTCAGGTGCCCTATTAATCATATGTATTAAAACTGGAAAGCTTAACTATAAGCTTAGAGTAAATTGAGTTCCGAAAATAGCAAACAAAACATAGCTTGTGAACAACGAGAGGACCTAGTCGTCACTTATAACACGAAAGGAAGATGTATGATGTCCGCATACCCCAGATCACTAAAAGTTATAGAGCTAAAAGTCATAGAGAAGCTAAAAAAACTAAGTTAACGAGCTTGTATCCCCTGTTCCTAGCTTGAAAAAACATCTATACAGAAAATGAGAACAAAAGAACAGTTGCCCTCAAATTTTAGCTCCAAACACCTCCTTCATTTGCACTCTGCAACAGCGTATCCTCTGTCCCTTAGCCACCTTCTGAACAGTCTCAGTTGTTTGGTTAGGTGGTTATGTGTATATATTTTACTGTTATGATTTGTAGCTCTTTTGAAGTAAATACAGTGAATGAATTTTATCTTTCCTTGGTTGATATTTTGTGATAGTCGTTTGTAGGATAAAATTGTTAATGGCAGTTCTTAGCTATTATGCCTTTGTTATTTACGGAGTATGTTACTAGTGGTATGCAGTTGACATTAAAATTGATTATTCAATTTATTTTGAAAACATCACATCATCATCATCATCGATCATTATCATCGTTTAATTGCTTGAATTAGGATGCTAATTTTAAGGTAGCGCGAACTTTTTCACTGTTCATCATTGATCATTATCATTATCATTGTTTAATTGCTTGAATTAAGGATGCTAATACCTTTCCGGCTTGCTGAAAATTTATCATTGATAGACTTATATTGTTTCTACTTGACTACTTTGAAAATTGATTAGTCCTAAACATCTAATGTTAAGTGAACTTCATACCAAATGACTGAGTTAAGTTTTTAATTATTTGAATCTGACTAAAAGAAATAAAGCTGCATGTAGCACACCTTACAGTTCAGTTCAACTCTTGTTGCTGAAGCGCAAAGTATCCCTCGATGCATATTATAGGTGGTTACTAGATACGCATCATCTGTCCTTGAGGTAACGGCATTCTCAATTATTCTTGATTTTTTTTACTTCGTGGATGTATATACTGAACAAAGTTTAATTAGTTACATCAGTACAATCTTGTACCTCACACGTTTTGGCATCCTTGCTTGGTGTACGACATCACTCAAACCCACTTTTAACTACAATCTATTCCATTACTCCTAAACTTCAATCTGGATAATGTTATCCAATAATCACCTATCTTCTCGTTCAATCAAGAGTTTCCCCCACTCGATATTCACACGATGAACAACATAAATCTTAGATACGTGGAGGTGTAAGGTGAAAGACGTTTTTTTACTTGAACCCCAAATAAATATATTTCAGCTATAAATCTCGTCTAATCCCTTCAGAATGTAGATGTTAAGCTGATGGATACCATGCTAATACTATTATTTTGATATTTAAGTTATAAATGATATTCTGTAATCATAAGACGTTTCCGCTAAATCTTGACAGTAATAGGCAGTATCTTTCCAGTTGCGTATTCAATCTCTCCTTTTGAAACTGCATTACATTGAAAGCCTAATTCTGTCCTCGAAAACTTTCAAGGTCTTCCTGTTTCAACTTCGCGCACATGCTAATTTTCATGTGAAGGATGTGTTAGTCATTTGGGATGCCAAAAAGATCCAACAATTTAGGCTGATGAATCAAGAGAAGAGTTGACAGACCTAGATCTACCAAGCATTTCAGCGAATAACGACTCAACTATTGAATTTGTGCTGATACCTCGTCAAATATATGGAACTGAAGACTCATAGGTGGAACAGAAAAGATCAATCTTTTATCCTGTAGAATAGTTTAAGTTAAGTAAGCTGGTATAATAATAATAATAATAATAATAATAATAATAATAATAATAATAATAATAATAATAATGATAATTTGTTAGAGGACGGATCATATCTTCTACTCAATTTGGCGTTTAACGTCAACTTCACTCGTGATAACATTGTTACGATACTTTTCAATATCAAATTGCGGTGCTTGTTGGTCGTCTCCTATAAAGTAAGCCTCTATACAATGTAGCGCTGTAAGCACTTCGATTTTTTTTATTATTTTATTAAGAGGAGTATTTTTAAGGATGTGAGCTGTTTAAAGATTACCAGTTTAGACGGAATTATACCTGGAGGAGAGTAAATATGTAGTAGTAACACCAAGCCTTGTAAGAGAAGTGAAATCTTATTAGCGATATTTCCCTGAATCAAACTTATGAATACTTGCATGCTAAAAATGACCACTCAAACTGGGACCTATATTACTATCGACGGTACTTGAGTAGGAGTGCATTCGGTCCGGATACGGCTCGGATATGATGCTTATCATATCCATATTCGTTTACCCATCTCGGATACGGATACGGATATACATCGGTAAGAAAAATTTATAAACCATATCCGTTAAAATCAGATACGGTTACGGATATAGATGCGGATATATAAGCGGATATGCATGTAGATACAAAACAGATATGAGAAAACTAGATAGTATTGAGAAAAAAATAGTTCATGTGATACAAAAGAGTTTGTTAATATGTCCGTTATAATTGAAAAGTTAAGATTAGACATCTTGATCATCAAAATTAACCACAAATCCATAATCTAAGAATCGAAACTATCCGTAAGAGTATGACTAATATGTATTCGGATATTTCGGATACGGATATTTCACTACAAAACTATATCTGTAACCATATCTTATTGGTTATAGATTTGAGTAACCATATTCGTATCCTAACGGATACGGTTACGGATATTTTCTCAGATACGGATACGGTTTAGCACCCCTATACTTGAGCGTTTGACCATCACTCCAAAGAAATTTATATTTTCAAATTGATGAATCATATATTGTTAAAAGCACGATACCATTCAGCTATAAATACAAAATTTGTGATTATTCGCTGTGCTTTTGATAATGGATAGTATCTAATCAATTTTATGAAGATTTTTTAAACATTGATTATTATTTATATTATATATGAAATACGGTTGGAATTTTGCTGAAACCATCCCCTATTTTACTCGTAATAGTTGAAGGTACACTTTTTAATTGGTAATATCCACATTTCGAGTAGTCTTGTCTTCTTATCAACTTACATTTTCAGGTTCGCTGACTTCATTGCAACTAGCATAATTAAATATAGAAAAATCTGTTATAATAGTCTCTCTTCATTTATATCAAGCTGTTGGATCGTGAAACTGACTTTGTCCATAACCGATACCGAGTTTATTTTTCATTCGGGGTCTACTCAATATTGATATTAGCAACTAAGTCCAAAAGATTGGGGGGTGTGTTTGTCAGACTTCACAAAACTTGTTTTAAGTGGAACAATATTTGTCCAAAACTTTATTTATAGTTTGGCAATGATTGGGCTCAAAGTGTAACTAGTTCTTTCTAGTTTATATTCTAGTCCTTAAATTAGTTTTTGTTTTTTGGATTAAAACTCTAAAGAAAAAGCCAGTCACCATGGGCCTGAGTCACGAGCCGTACGGTTCGGATCCGGGTTGCTCGACCGAAATGTTTTACCTGTCTAGCCGCTCATGAACGTAGGGACTAGGGACCAAGGCGGAGAAATTTGCAAAATAAAAAAAAGGGAGAAGTCTTGAAGCTAAACTTCGCCAAGCCCTGGGGTCACGTCGCCCCCTCCGTACTTTTTTTTTTCGGAAAATCTCACAAAACACCCCCCATTGAACTTTGGGTGTCTCGCGAAACCCTGTGAAATTTATCCTTTTCTAACGGGACCCCGTGCATTAAAATATCTTCCCAATAAACATTTGGGTTTTCTGTGTCTTACCTAGAGCCCCCAGAAAGTACGCTAGAACTCTTTTTCCTAATGTTTGGGGAAAATATATATTCGTTTTGACCTGGGATTTCTTGTGAACTGATGATCTATTTTATTGATGGCGCACATCCCAGTGGCAAATTTTAATATTTTTTTTTTGAAAAATAATTTTTGATATTGTCTGTTTGATTGTCTACTACATGTGTACTCAGCCCCGAGCGTTTATTAATGAACACATTTCTATGTTATCTTTAATATAAAAGATGGGAAAACAAAATTTGGAAAGAGAAAAAAAATATGGTGATTCTTTTTCTAAATTCATATTTTGAGTCAAAAAGTTGATTCAAAAATAAGTATCGGGTACCAAGCTAAGCCCCTACATTGATGCTTATCATATCCATATTCGTTTACCCATCTCGGATACGGATACGGATATACATCGGTAAGAAAAATTTATAAACCATATCCGTTAAAATCAGATACGGTTACGGATATAGATGCGGATATATAAGCGGATATGCATGTAGATACAAAACAGATATGAGAAAACTAGATAGTATTGAGAAAAAAATAGTTCATGTGATACAAAAGAGTTTGTTAATATGTCCGTTATAATTGAAAAGTTAAGATTAGACATCTTGATCATCAAAATTAACCACAAATCCATAATCTAAGAATCGAAACTATCCGTAAGAGTATGACTAATATGTATTCGGATATTTCGGATACGGATATTTCACTACAAAACTATATCTGTAACCATATCTTATTGGTTATAGATTTGAGTAACCATATTCGTATCCTAACGGATACGGTTACGGATATTTTCTCAGATACGGATACGGTTTAGCACCCCTATACTTGAGCGTTTGACCATCACTCCAAAGAAATTTATATTTTCAAATTGATGAATCATATATTGTTAAAAGCACGATACCATTCAGCTATAAATACAAAATTTGTGATTATTCGCTGTGCTTTTGATAATGGATAGTATCTAATCAATTTTATGAAGATTTTTTAAACATTGATTATTATTTATATTATATATGAAATACGGTTGGAATTTTGCTGAAACCATCCCCTATTTTACTCGTAATAGTTGAAGGTACACTTTTTAATTGGTAATATCCACATTTCGAGTAGTCTTGTCTTCTTATCAACTTACATTTTCAGGTTCGCTGACTTCATTGCAACTAGCATAATTAAATATAGAAAAATCTGTTATAATAGTCTCTCTTCATTTATATCAAGCTGTTGGATCGTGAAACTGACTTTGTCCATAACCGATACCGAGTTTATTTTTCATTCGGGGTCTACTCAATATTGATATTAGCAACTAAGTCCAAAAGATTGGGGGGTGTGTTTGTCAGACTTCACAAAACTTGTTTTAAGTGGAACAATATTTGTCCAAAACTTTATTTATAGTTTGGCAATGATTGGGCTCAAAGTGTAACTAGTTCTTTCTAGTTTATATTCTAGTCCTTAAATTAGTTTTTGTTTTTTGGATTAAAACTCTAAAGAAAAAGCCAGTCACCATGGGCCTGAGTCACGAGCCGTACGGTTCGGATCCGGGTTGCTCGACCGAAATGTTTTACCTGTCTAGCCGCTCATGAACGTAGGGACTAGGGACCAAGGCGGAGAAATTTGCAAAATAAAAAAAAGGGAGAAGTCTTGAAGCTAAACTTCGCCAAGCCCTGGGGTCACGTCGCCCCCTCCGTACTTTTTTTTTTCGGAAAATCTCACAAAACACCCCCCATTGAACTTTGGGTGTCTCGCGAAACCCTGTGAAATTTATCCTTTTCTAACGGGACCCCGTGCATTAAAATATCTTCCCAATAAACATTTGGGTTTTCTGTGTCTTACCTAGAGCCCCCAGAAAGTACGCTAGAACTCTTTTTCCTAATGTTTGGGGAAAATATATATTCGTTTTGACCTGGGATTTCTTGTGAACTGATGATCTATTTTATTGATGGCGCACATCCCAGTGGCAAATTTTAATATTTTTTTTTTGAAAAATAATTTTTGATATTGTCTGTTTGATTGTCTACTACATGTGTACTCAGCCCCGAGCGTTTATTAATGAACACATTTCTATGTTATCTTTAATATAAAAGATGGGAAAACAAAATTTGGAAAGAGAAAAAAAATATGGTGATTCTTTTTCTAAATTCATATTTTGAGTCAAAAAGTTGATTCAAAAATAAGTATCGGGTACCAAGCTAAGCCCCTACATTTCCATATTTCTCCACTAACTTCCTAATTCTAATTTATTATGAATATCAATATTATTTTGCTGGCAGTTTCGGTGAAGCTGATCAATTTGATGTTTTTTTATCTCTTTCGCTGCTGGAGTTTGACAATTATTCTATTTTAAATTTGTTTTAGGTGAGTACAAGGAAGGCCTTGGCCTTGGGCTTTAAGGGGAGTTGATTGATGGGCCCGACAAGATGTCATCACTGACTGAAGCTTCCCTTTCACTTTAATTAGATCGAGATTAGATTAGATAGCTCTTTGTATTTGATGAGTGTATGTTTGTAAGGAACGAGATGGGATGCTTTGCGTTGACTTTATGTTGTTGACTTCTCTTTTTCGTTTGGATGTGTTCTAAAGTTGACTTAGTAACTCCATAGTCAACTCTCTTTGGATTCAAACGCTCAACTTTCAACCTACTAGAATTGAACAGCCATTTTATACAAGATCATTTGAAGCTAACTCGCTTTTCCGAATCCTATTTTACGACGATATTATTTTTTTGATAATATATTTGGGAATATAATTGAAAAATACGCATTTCAATAGACCCGTATCAAACCCAATATATTGTTGTTTTTCTCTCTAAGTAGGGCAGAACAAAAATTGGTTCAAACCGACTACATCGCCCGAACCACCTGATTCTCTGTAGTTTGGTGCGGTTTTTATGACGGGTACAGTTCGGGTCGGTTATACCTATTTAACTTCGGCGAGAATCTAAATCAACCGATAGCTAGCTCTTAGTACCGTATCCTGCTAAATATAATGGCACCTGTTCTGAGTGCATTCACTAAGGCTTGGTTTGGTAGGAGGTATGAGGAGAGAATGTGAGGTGAGGTAGGTGCAATGAGGTGCAAGAAAGAATATACTTTTTGTGCTTTTTGTTTGGTTGAAAGGGAATGGGAGATATATAACTTTAGTTAAAATTTTAATTTCTCTCACCTCACTGTGTGTCTCTCTCACCTCACTCTTTTGTCCCACCAAAATGGGGGATATTTCTCTATGTACAATTATAGTTCATTTGGCACTTGCTCTCTCTTCACCTAACTTCACACCATCATACATTTCTCTCCAAAAACTCTTACCAATAAGAAATTTTAATTTTGTCCCTCCATTCACTCTACTTCATCTCCTACCAAATCAAACCTACACCTATGGCATTTTTTTGGGGACCCACGAAATACACCCACGTGACTTGGCTTCTATTCCGAACTCAAGGCTAGGCTTGCTATCTACGTCACACGAGAGGGATGTAAAGATTAGTCCTATTTTCAATGTAATGCAAGTCGAGCTTTTTCTCTCACAAACTGAAATGAGTGAAAGATCTCACTCACCTCCCTCTCTCGTTCTTCGTGCACCAGATGGTCAGTTTTTTTTGGTTCCAATGGCGAGTATTTTGGTCTCAGTGTTGGGCTTTTCATTAACTTTTGTTGCTTGTGGGTGGAACAGAAACAAGCCACAAACTTGATCGAACCGAACGGAAGTAACTCGGTTCAGCTCAGCTCAGTTTGTAAATTCGGTTTGGTTTGGTGTTACTAAAAATGATGACAACCAACCGAACTAATCATTTGCTCTCTACTATCTCTCTAAGGGCTCGTTTGATATGAGGTTAAAAAAATCAGGGTTAAACTTTAACATGATAAATATTACTTTAGAAAATTAGTAGAGGAAACATTTCTATGTTTGGTATAACCTTTCAACAAGGATAAAATTTAGCCTCAAACCAGAGGCGTAGCCAGGGTACTCTTGCCCTGGATAGTTGCCCAGGGCAAGAAAGTGGCCGGCCCTCTACGCCCCAGCTCCTACTTCTCCGTCGGTTGGCCGGCCCTCTACACCTCCGTCCTCTATGGCGGCGTCTTCGGCCTCCTCTCCATGGGCGCCGCCCTCTCCGTCGCTGTTCCGGCCACGGTGGTAACCTGGATCACCGTCCTCATGTTGCTCGCCTTCGCGTGGAAACCAAGGAGGACGCTGGTGATGGAGGCAGTCTGGCAGTGACGTAGCCTAGTGATTTTTTGCCCAGGGCAAAAAAAATTCCTGACTACGCCACTGATGATCAGCCAAGTAATTAGGGCTCTAGTGGTTATGAATCTGTCAAAGTTCTTCCACTTATAACGCTGGTTTTAGCCGTCTACAAGCCACTTCCATCATTTCTGATGATTAATCTTAAAAAAAGTTGGCCGGCCCTCTACGCCTCCGTCCTCTACGGCGGCGTCTTCGGCCTCCTCTCCATGGGCACCGCCCTCTCCGTTGTTGTTCCGGCCACGGTGGTGACCAGGATTACCGTCCTCATGTTGCTCACCTTCGCGTGAAAACCAAGGAGGACGCTGGTGATGGAGACAGTCTGGCAGTGGCGTAGCCTAGCGATTTTTTGCCCATGGCTATGCCACTGCCTCAAACTGATCACTTCCATTCTCAACCCAAATATTCAAAAAAATTTACGAAAACACTGTAAAAATTGAAATTATAAAAAACACATGTGTAGTTTTTATCTTTTCATGGTGTTTCTTGCAAATGTCAAATTTTTTTCATGGTGTTTTTTGCAACTTTTGAAAGTTTTAGGGTGTTTTTCAAACAATTTCCAAAATTTTCAAGGGGGCTATTTATAATCCTAGATTTTCTATTTACTCTTTGCAGATTAAATCTTATCAGGGAGTTTATAATTTTTTAGGGTGTTTTTTAAAAAATCTAAAAATTTTAGATTTTTTCGCAAATTAAAAATTTGTACGTGCAGTTTGTAATTCTTAGATTTTTAAATGTACTATTTTTGGGTTGACCTTTTCTTGCTCTTTTTGTAAATTTTGAGTTTTAGAGTGTTTTAAAAAAATTTAAGGTGTATTATGCAAATCCCAAAAATTTTTAGAATTGTTTGTAATTTCAAGATTTTTAATGTACTATTTGTAGGTTTTTAAATATTCACAGAGTTTATTGTAAAATTTAAAATTTTGAGGGTGTTTATTGAAACTTTAAAAGTTGAGGGTTTCTTATGCGAATTACAAAATTTTAGGAGCTATTTGTAATTCGTAGATTTCTAGTGTTCTGTCTAGGTTTGAAATATTCAAGTTTTTCTGTAAGTTTGAAAACTTTGTGGGTATTTTTTTGCTAATTTTCAAAAGTTTTAGGGTGCTTTCTATAGATTTGAAACTCTTAAGGGTGCTATTTGTAATTCATAAATTTTTAGTTTATGTTCTATGTTTGAAATTTTAAATTTTTTGTAAATTATAATTTTTATAGTGGTTTTGCAAATCTTTAAGGTTTTAGGATGTTTTTTATAAATTGTAAAACTTTTGGGCCTGTTTGTATTTCTTTGATTCTTATTCTAATATTTTAGATTTTAAAGTAGCAGTTAGTTTTTTAAAATTTTGATTTTTGTAATTTTCAAAATTTAATAAAAATTCAAAAAAAATTCAAGGAGCTTCTTGTAAGGTTTGAAATTTGCAGGTATATTTGTATATTTTGAAATTTTAGGGTGTTTTTACATTATTTTTTAATTTTTTGTAATGTTTTTTTGTAGTTTGGAATTGTTGGGGTATTGTTTGTATTTCCAATTTACAAAGGGATATCTATATTTTTTCGATTTTAGGGGCTTTTTGGTAAGTTTTGAAAATATGTTTGCGGTTATTTATAGTTGCACATGGTTAAATGAACCAAGCATAAACTTTCCCTTTTTTTATTCTACCCTTTTATTTGGTTAAAATTTATCCTTATATATGGTTAAACTTTTAACCTTGGTGAAATTTTAACATGATAACAAATCATATTTCCTTTCAAAGAGCGAGTTGTGGAAAAACTTTTCATGGACTATATTGCCCCTATTCTTTTTTGATATTATATTCTAATCATAAGAAAAACTTTTCATGGACTATATTGCCCCTATTCTTTTTTGATATTATATTCTAATCATAAATTAACTAAATTAATTATCATTAGATATTATATTCTAATCATAAATTAACTAAATTAATTATCATTATTAATTAATCATATTACATGTCACTTTAATTTTATCTATGTTGATGTTAAGTGATCAAACAGTCAATAAAATGGTTGGATGAGGATGAAATTGATGAGGGGCCGCTTCCTTCCAAGAATATCTGGTTCTGAGTTGAGTGACTGAAGTTTGCACAAGTAGAAATTCGTGAGAGGACGATGATTGGTTACCCCGTGGTTCCTCCGACGATCAAGTCAGCTGATGAACTTGAGTGGGGAAAAATGAACTATGAGAGTTCTTATGTGTGCAGTATAATTTGTAGATATTACTTAAAAGATCTAATCTGGAAGCAAAAGCCTCACCCCTTCTAGGTTAGAATAATACCTCTATTTATACTGATGGTATAAGGGTATAATTGTCACTTTCGCTAAGCACAGGGTAACGGTGAAGAAGTATGGGCTGGTGGCAGCGTCAGCACCTACTTTACGGGTGTCGGCTGGTGACTGGGGGAGAGATCACTTTCGTATTAAATGAGAAGCATTAGATGCATAACGGTCCTGACATGGTCCGATGAGTCATGAAGACTATCGAGGCTAGAGGCATGATGGCGTCTGTCAAGCATTAAATGCAATGCTGACACGTTTGTTAGTGGGAGATGCTCGAGGCTGAGGCCGTCCTCTAGCTTCGCCGAGAAGTAACGCCTTTCGAGTCGACCTCATGAGGCGTCGAATAATTGGTCGAGTGGGCTCGTTGCGAGTCGTCTTCGACAATATGGCCGACTAGTTCCGCCATTTGAGTCGACATAAGAGGATGTCGACTCAGTGAGTTGGCTAAGTTGGAATCTTTGCTGGTCTTTGGCCGCCAATTTGATTGGGACATTACATACAGAAGTACACATGTCTGTTGCTGGCAAAGGGTCGCACTTTGGCGACTGAAAGCATCATAACAGTTGGCCCCTTTTGATTGGAGTCGGCTTGAGCCGGGTTCGAGTAAAATGAGAGTTGTTTTGGATGGACGTGGGTGTGCATTAAATGAGGGAACTGAAAAGTCATGTCAGATTTGCGTGGCTGACGTCACTGCACATTCTTTTTGACTACTACAGCTCCTCTTTTCTTGGTAGATTGTGGGCTAATCGAGGTGAGTGGGTTGCGCCTCAATCTTTGAGATGTCGTTTCGAATCCTAATAATTAATCTTGGCCGTTGGACAAGGCTTGATCCGGTGGATCAGATTCCGATAGTTGTAAAGTCAGCTGCCTATATATAGAACTAGGGCTATGAATGTGGCGGTTATTGCCTTTTGAAATTCCTTTTAGAGAACCCAGAATTTTTTCTACTCATCTCTTCCGGCGATCATTTCTTCATTCTACGATGGCCTTAGATCTAATAGACCGACACGCTCTTCTGGTGGAGATCCACTCCAAGGTGACTCTGACACCGAAGAGGACGCTCCATGGGAGGTTCAATATCCTTCGGGAGCATGAGCTGATGGCCCTGACAAGGTCGGAGGTCATTTATGAT